AGAACTAAGACTTAAAAGTGTTAGAACTGTTATTTCTTCTTGTCGTCTGCACTGAAATGGAGCAAAGGATCATGGTCTATGTAGTTCCCTCTGTCTCTTTTCTTAATTTAAACCAAGAGACTTGTAATTCGATATATTGTGATGGTCCACGATATTACTGTGAGAACTTTGACGATACGACATCACGATATTTTGGTTATTGTTACATCCCTAAAATACATACATACTAGTGTTGTCAGTCGATTAAAATATTTAATTGCGATTAATTTCGTGAATGTCAGCTCGCAATTAACCGCAAATTAATCACACATATTTGTCCCTTTAATAATCATTTTACTATTGTTATCAACATAGAAAAGTGGATAGGCTTTGTGCAAATGTTTTTTTTTTTAATGCAAGTGTGTTTGTCGTCCCAACGCCGCTGCACTAAAGGCGATGACGTCATCACACGGCGCTGTTTGTTTACATGTGGCAGCAGAGCGAACACTTTAGCGGAGAAAATAAGTCCAGCGGCAGAAGTATTTATTAAATAGTGAGACAGATGTGAGTCCTGCTGCGATACGCTTCTCCGTGAGTTTATGGAGCAGTGAGAACAGCCGGAGACGAGAGGCCTGTAAAACTTCTGTCTCTGTCACAGTCCTTATCGAAGGTCAGCGCGGATTCGCCGTATATTTTTTTTAGCGGACTTTATTTCATATTTGCCTCGTATGAATAACATCAGCGCACCTGAAAGGGCTTCTCTGTTTTGTACAAATCGTTTTCCTTCCTGTTTACAGCCAGATCCTGTAGTTTTTCTAACGTTACAACAGTGGCCACAACTTATATTTGCGATTTTTTTTTTTTAAAATGAACGCACAACAACGCACGCTCAATTTCTTGTGACTGCTAAAATTAGTAGCTCTTTGGCATTTTCTTTTTGTAAAGGTAGCTCAAAAGAAGACAAAAACGTGGGAGATCCCTGCACTAGAGAAACCATGAAAGAGACGTAACCAGACAGAGGACACGGCTTTCACTTCACTAGCAGCCCAAATACCTCCAAAAATACAGTCCATTTCATTTAAAACACCTGCCCCTCTGACCCGGCCTCACTTGTTGACCTGTTTGTTGACCTGTTTGTTTGTTGACCTGTTTGTTGACCTGTTTGTTTACTCTTGTGTCCCTGGTGAATCGGCGCCTGGACTCTGCTCTCTTCCTTCCTTCACCTGTTTCTAAAGAGAGTCACGCCACACTGCCTCTTTATTCTCTTCGGTACGTTTCACCAACACTCAAATCTCACTCAGCAAATCAAATCATCTGGTTTATGCGCAGGTAGATTAAATCAGTCAATGCAGCATCATGTGGTCAGACGGCACTTTCTGCACTGGTCGGTATTATTTAAGCATATGTGTCTATATAGTTTCACTTGTATGTAGAATTATAGATAAAATTGGGCTACGTTCAGACTGCAGGGCTTAATGCTTAATTTGGATTTTTTCGTGAAATCAGATTTTTTGGCGAGGTCGTTCACATTTCCAATAAATTTGACTTGTGTGTGATCTCCAGTGTGAACTTTAAACTCCTCAGAAGTGTCCCACATGAGCATTGGAGGACACGACGATGTCACACACAGCAAACGTGTTCAGTGTTTACGGAAGTCGTCTAAACGCTGGGCTTGTTTCCCAAAATACGATCCAGTTCTTGGTAAAATGGACAGTTTACACGTCCACGGCCGCTTTGTTTGAGTCTTCAGCCTCCTTGTATTGGCTCGCAGGCTCTTTATTTTTCGTTGACTTTGGAGCCAGGACTGCCTATAGTCGCTCTTGGCCATTTCTTTGGCAATCATTTCAAAAAACGCCCGGTTCCGATAAGCCCACTTCAATTTGGCCTGAACACAGCAATATCCCCAAATATTAATTATCTCGCTAACCTCGCTTTCCCTCCATTGACGAGACTCTGAGGGTGCACTCACACTAGGACTGTAGAACCATGCCGTGCTCAAGCTCGATTGCTGTGGGTTTTATGGTCCTTCTATGGCCCGTACTCACACCTGCACATCTGAACCGTCATGACGTCATCACACGGCGTTGTTTGTTTTACATTTGCTAACTGTTTTAGCGGAGAAGAAAAGTCCAGCGGCAGAAATATCTATTAAATAGTGAGGTTCTGACGTTCTTTGAAGATACATGCTCCTCCTTGAATTTATGGTTTAAAAAACAGCGCAGAGCAGTGATGAAAGCCGGAGATGCTGTGTGTTTTGGAGCAGATTTTATTCACTGTAACATCAGCGCACCTGACAGGGCTCGTATAGTAAAGTCATGCGTGTGCATGTACATGAGCTCCATGTCGTGCTTTGGCTCACTTCCTCCAATCAGGTCAAAGTCCCAACCTGAGCCTGACGTGTAGGTTGGCTGAATGTGACCTGACCGTTCAGACTAAAGTCGCATGTCAAAAGATCAGATATGTATCAGTTTTAGGAGCACATATCCAAGTGTCCTGGGTCACATTTGAAAAAGTCAGATCTGCGTGGTTCAGACTGTCATTAAAAGATCAGATACAGGAGCATAGGGACGATTTGAGTCACTTCAGGCTGCAGTCTGAACGTAGACTAAGTGGATCAGTATAAAATATTTCAAACATGATGGACAGACACAAAATTATTTGATTCTGTAAAATGTGCTTAATCATCAAGTTGACCATTTTGCATAAAAGTAAAATCAGTTCTTAGAAAGTTTCAGATTTGGCCCCCATATTTGACCTCTGACCTGCTGCATTCGCTGTGTTCCCGTACATCTGAGTTGCATGTGAAGTCTCCTCAGCTATGTGCATGACTCAATCAGCTGCTCTTGGTTTTAGTCAGATCTCCCGTGATTCAGAGCTCCTCAGAGGAACCACCATTTTGATTTCTCTGCAACTTTTAACTTCCTTATTTCCTTTACGGACCTAAATTCAAATTCACTGTTTTCTCCTCAAAATATTACATTTGCTGATACTCGTGTATTCATCGTTAGAGCTTATTCAGTTTCAGTATTTGATAACTATGTACTAAGACTGCAACTGTTTAGGAATTTATTCTGTGATTCATGCTTTTAAATCAAGATTGAGTTCACAGTTCAAATTTCAAACACGTCCAGGAGCATTAATCATTTGAGAAAAAGCTGAAATCTGAACTTTAAACTAATTTAAGAATCCCATGCACTTCAGAACATGAGTGTAGAGATCTAAACTACAAGGTTAGCAGCTTTTACACAGAATAAAACTATTCAAAGTGTGATGAATTGTGCTGCCCGACTGTGAAACGTCATATTTTGATTAGTTAAATTAAGTGTAAAGTGTAAATGTTTGTGCCAAAAACCAAAAGTACATTCACGCAATTTATAATTTTTGGTAATGTGTCAGTAGAGTTTGTTTATTTACATGTTCTAAAACCCTAAACCTGTCTCTTTTGGCGTGTTGAAGGAGTGTACGGCGACGTGATGAGAGTCAAAATCCTCTTCAACAAAAAGGAGAACGCCCTGGTGCAGATGGCCGACGCCACGCAGGCTCAGCTCGGTAACGCACACCTCACTGCCCGCTGCACACGCGCCAAATCTGATCAATCTGATCACTTTTGACAGACTACGTCAAGTTGTATTTGTTGGGGATACAAAACCAGTGTTGGGGAGTAACAGATTACATGTACCGGAGTTATGTAATCAGAGTACAAATGATGAGTAACTGTATTCAGTTACAGTTACTGTTTCAGTGAGTGGGAATTGGATTACAGTTACTTTGTTGAAATAAATGGATTACACAGAGGGATTTTCCTGTTTTCACATTTTGGACTAAAACCAGGACTAAAACCAGGAGTAAACTTGGACTAAACCAGGACTAAACCAGGACTAAAACCAGGACTAAACCAGGACCAAACCAGGACTAAAACCAGGAGTAAACTTGGACTAAACCAGGACTAAAACCAGGACTAAACCAGGACTAAACCAGGACTAAACAGACTAAAAACAGGACTAAACCAACTGGACTAAAACAAAGACTAAAACAGGACTAAAAAACAAGGACTAAACAGGACTAAACTGGACAAACAGGACAAAACCAGGACTAAACCAGGACTAAAACTAAAACCAGGACTAAACCAGGACTAAACCAGGACTAAACCCAGGACTAAAACAGGACTAAAAACCAGGACTAAAACCAGGACTAAACCAGGACTAAAACCAGGACTAAACCAGGACTAAACCAGGACTAAAACCAGGAGTAAACCAGGACTAAAACCAGGAGTAAACCAGGACTAAACTAGGACTAAAACCAGGACAAAACCAGGACTAAACCAGGACTAAACCAGGACTAAAACCAGGACTAAACTAAAACAATATGACACCAACAGTAGTGTGGACGTAATTATGATCTCATATAAAAATCATTTTTCTATCAATAATATTTTTAATCTGGTCAAGTAAAGACTGAACAAACATGAATTTTCAGGATGTTGTTGGTACATTCACGTAGTTTTAAAAAACATGACAATATCAAGTAATCCAAAGTATTCAGATTACATTACTCACTTTAAGTAATTTAATGGATTACGTTGCAAACTACATTTTGGGGTATGTAATCTGTAATCTGTAGGGGATTACATTTTAAAAGTCACCTTCCCAACACTGTACAAAACCAGCCCAAAGGAGAGCTGGAAAGTAAAATATGGACTGATAATGCTGTAATTCTGCATCAAACATGGACATGGACACGCCCTCTTCTCCGATTGGTCAGACTCTGTCCTGCTCTGAGTGAGTGGCAGGTGGATTTAACCAATCATAGTGAAGCTTGTATAGACAAAGTAGTTTTTGGATAGAAATGGTGTTTATGGTTAGGTAGTTAATCTAATTCATCTGATTGAGACTTTGAAAAACTGCAAAATGTTGACTTGAGAATCAGTGTCAGGGTTTCCACTAGGGATGGGCATTCGATTAAATTTCCTTAATCGATCATCGGGTGAATTAACGATTGTTTTTCGATTAATCATGAACGTTTTCATATTAAAATGATCATCATTATTATTACTATTACCTGTATTTTCCAGGGCTATTAGACGCGCTCTTAAGCCTCCAACCCCATCAAAACACGACTGCGCACCCCACAATCCAGAGCGCCCCATACACGAATCCACTCTAGTGTCCCAGCACGACTTCAGTAAACTACAAAGCCACAACACACCCGCAGAACACGCAAACACACACGGAGCAGACGGCGACCGCACGGCGAAACGCACCCACAGACACACTCATCACTCCACGCCGACGAGGAACGGAACGGAGGAACGAACCGAAAAAGCGAGTGCGACGTGCCGCTTCTAGACACGACTGAACAACTGAGTCACTGCGAACACGCCGACAATCCGTTGGTCCCAGACAGCACCCTCCCTACACACCACAACTGAACAAAGCCCAGAGTCACCGTGAACGAACAAACAAAACCACTCGCCCATCACACTGTTGTGTTTCCTTTAAAGTCCCACGCGGTTTATTTGTGAAAAAAGTTCAAAAATAGACCATTTAATGACAGTGCGTCTTATAATCCAGAGCGCCTAATAGTGTGGAAAATATGGTACTAATCTGCATAAATAAACTCAACTTTACAACAAATAAGTCATCACCGCTCTAGAGCCTCATCAGCCTGTTTGACATTATAATGTGTTTAATGCAGCTTTGACACATTTGTTTACGTTTTACCGAATTGAAACTTAAAACCACATGACTCATTTGCATAAACTATAAGCGCTGATTAAAAACAGCTCTTTCCTTGTGCGCTGATGTGGTTCAGCTTCTGTTGGACTAAAGGACACGACTCAGTGGAATATGAGTGTTTCTTTCTGTGACAGAGGATGTTGATGATGCTGATGGTGAGTCTGTTCTGTGTGTATAGGCGGGTTTCAGCTGACGTCATTGTTATTAAAAGCCCGCGTTGCTGCTGGGAAATATTTTGGTCGGAGGCAAGAAACACGGTAGCGTCAAACACAGTGCGTAACCTCGCGTATTTATCCCCGATCATGGTAAATTCCTGCTGCATTATCGGATGCACAAATAGAAGCACGGAAGAAGGAAAATGTCTTTGTCGTATTCTGAGTGAAAAGAACCGCTAACGGTGAATTAAACGGTTTTCAAACATCCGCAGAGCAAACGTAGAAGATCCTAACAAACCGTGGACTCCAACAAGTTCAACAACACATCGAGACTCTTGGAGGTTTTCATCTTTTCTGCTGTGAATGGCCCAGGAGTTTCCACCAAGTCATTGTGGATATCGCCCAAGTGAATATTTGTCCAGGTAGTTGGTGATTCCGACCAGAAATTTGGTTTGGTCCACCTTTTGTCGGGGTTGAAAAGGGTGATTTGGCTCCTTCGATGCTTATGACCAATTTCTGGTCAAATGGTCTTGGGTCCTCTGCCGTTAGAGTGGATAAATAACCGGGATCAATACCCTTTACGTGCTTTCTCGCTCCGTCCGTCATGTTGAATTAGCGTTTATTGCCGCCGACCAAAATAATTCCCAGCATGCAACGCGCGCTTTTGTCAACAATGAAACTCACCTATACTGCACAAAAATCCGATCATACTCGGGACACAGATGTGCTGTAAACATTCTCACTGAGTGGTGCAGTGTCTCCAAAAAGCCAGAGCCCAAACGTGGGACTGTGAGGCACAACTCCAGTGTTTGTGTCAGACGCAGCCTCGTCTCCTCACGCTGCTCACAGCAACCTACATTCAGTTTGTCAATTAAAAATGAAGGTGATCAACGAAATTCTTAACGGTCAGTTACTGATTAATCGACTGCTCATGCCCATCCCTGGTTCCCCCAGTGTGTGGTTGTGTTGTGTTCAAGTGCTTTTGTTGTCATAGTGAAGTGAAACATGGTGGATCCAGAGTTTATCCTGACCTGTTACTTGGGTTAAAGCAGTTTTAGATTTTCTAATTCATCTGCTACAGCAAGAAGAGAATGTATCAAAACACAAACAGCCGGCTAAATAATATGCTGGTTATTTTTTTGATCATGTAGAGAAGAGGATTTTTACAATAGCTGATGCTTCTCTATTTGTATCTGTATTCTGTATATGTTCCGCCATGTTGAAAGGTTAAAGTTTATCTCATCTCCGCAGCCCGTGTATCATAAAAATGTTCCAGCTTTCCAGTGGAAATTACAGCATGAGTGGGTGTTCATGTGCAATTTTGATGTTGCACAATAAATAAGCTCTGTGTTATCCTGCAAAAACAAGTCACCCATGTGCCAAGATTCAGATCAAATCACATCAAAACCGCACTTATTCCTGCGTCCAGCCTCTCACGCCTCCTCCTGTCCCTCCTCCCCAGTGATGAGCCACTTGACAGGGCAGCGCCTGCACGGGAAGCCCCTGAGGATCACTTTGTCCAAACACTCCAGTGTCCAGCTCCCCCGAGAGGGCCACGAGGACCAGGGTCTGACCAAGGACTTCAGTACCTCCCCCCTGCACCGCTTCAAGAAACCTGGCTCCAAGAACTACTCCAACATCTTCCCCCCGTCTGCCACACTGCACCTGTCAAATATACCGTAAGTTTCAATACCACGCGTACGATAACATGAGCCATGAGTTTTCACAAATCACACTGATTCACTTTTGTTTTGGTGTGCTGTGCTAAAGTGAAAATGAAACCTCCTGCAGTGTCATTGTTCGTAGACTTTTGTGTGTCTGCTGTCTTCTGTGTGGACTTTTCCTGAGGACCTCACCATGTTGAAGCCATGTGAGTGACGTGTGTTTGTGTTGCAGCCCGTCTGTGGTGGAGGACGACCTGAAGAGGCTGTTCTCCAGCTCCGGAGCCATCGTCAAAGCCTTCAAGTTCTTCCAGTGAGTGTGGACTCTTCTATCTGCAGTGTTCGTAGCCTGTTATTTAGACTTCTAGACCCACTTTGAGACCCCTGTTATAGTGCGTTCAGACTTAGGTGTCCAGATTATAGGCAAACTCATCTTCAGGCGTCAGCGTGGCGTGAATCTGGCGTAGATGTGGCACGTCTAGAGCGTTCAGATGTCAATGCTCCAGGGCGTCCAGGACGTTGGCGTCAGAAGTTGAAAATGCTGAACTTTTGGAGTCGGACACGCCGCTTCAACCAGTCAGGACGACTCTCTAATAACGTAGCGATGTTATTTTCCGGAAGAAGGAGAAGAAAGAAAGACCCGGGAACCACAAACATCAGAACAAGAAATCTATGCTGTGTCATTAGGGGATTATAAATATATACACGCTGCAGCCGCCGAGGTTATCACCAGGACTAAACCAGGACAGAACCAGGTCTAAACAAGGACTAAATCAGGAATAAACCAGGACAGAACCAGGTCTAAACAAGGACTAAATCAGGACTAAACCAGGACAGAACCAAGTCTAAACAAGGACTAAATCAGGACTAAACCAGGACAGAACCAGGTCTAAACAAGGACTAAATCAGGACTAAACCAGGACAGAACCAGGTCTAAACAAGGACTAAATCAGGACTAAACCAGGACAGAACCAGGTCTAAACAAGGACTAAATCAGGACTAAACCAGGACAGAACCAGGTCTAAACAAGGACTAAATCAGGACTAAACCAGGACAGAACCAGGTCTAAACAAGGACTAAATCAGGACTAAACCAGGACAGAACCAGGTCTAAACAAGGACTAAATCAGGACTAAACCAGGACAGAACCAGGTCTAAACAAGGACTAAATCAGGACTAAACCAGGACAGAACCAGGTCTAAACAAGGACTAAATCGGGTCTAAACTAGGACAGGACCAGGACTAAACCAGTGTCATTAGCGGAGTATAAATATAAACACGCTGCATCCCTTGAGTCCTTCGCCTGGGTTTTATGTAATAAATACACTTAAGTCACTCTCAACCTGGTCTGCCATTGTTCTGGGAAAAGACCGGGAAATGGCATTTGTTTCCAGGGCAACGGACGTCCTCAATGTGCGTCACGAAGTTTTTTTCCCTTTCGTCCATGGCATCCAAGACGCGTGTCGGGTGCGTCTAAACTCAGATACAAAGACGTCCAAGTAAAGGCATCCAGCGCGTTTTTTTTGATGCCCCGTCACCATTACACCTCACTCAGCCTGCCCAGGTCCAGCAGACGCAACCGTGTAGGAGTATTTGAAAACTGCACACACACAGGACCACGTGTTCACACCATAACTGTTGATGTATTAAGAGAAAGGTCGTCCTGCAGAAATAGACTCCCAATGGGTAGAATGTGGAGGGGCCCAGGGCTCCCAGGACAGTCTGAGCTCGTCTCCGTACTTTGAATGATTTGGAATAGTTGCAGTGTCGGAGTAGAGGAGTAGAGGAGTTGGAGAAGTATCTTAGTGAAGGTAGTTTGGGCTGAAAAAATCCAAATAAGTCCGATGAGGTTGAATGTTCTTAAAAACGACCTCCTAATGTCACAATGTGGACAGGGTTTGGAGCTTTGGAGTGAGAGAAAAACACAAAACCATTTTAAATAGAATAATCTCCAGTGTCTTCCTTTGTTTTCAGCTACTGTCTCAGCTTTAAACAAACATATTTCACTGAACATTTACAAATATCTGCCGTCATTTCTTCTCATTTCTATGAAACGCTCTGACACGCTGCTCTCTAAAGGACACAGACGACACGGCACCCCCTCCTGGTGAGTGGTGGTAGTGCGTCCTCAATCGTGCACATGAATCAGGTCAATGATGTCATGAGGACTCTCTGTAAATCCTCCAGACTCTGAACACTGCCAGTATATGCATTATTTCATTTATATGGACCAATGAATGAAAACTAAAAAATACTAATATCTCAGAAAGTGTCAGTGAACATGATTTAAATATTCGGGCTCGGGTCGGACTTGGACACATCAGCACGTTTGTTTCCTGTATACAGTAAAACTACTCGCTTTGAGACTCTAAAGCACAGGTGTCAAACATACGGCCCGGGGGCCAGATCCGGCCCTCCAAGACCTTTACTGTGGCCCTTGGGTGATTTTCTACTAAAATATTTAAATTATATTTTCTATTAAAATCTTGTTAATTTTCTGCAGTGTTTATCACAGCAGCGTCTCCAGCGTCTCTGTACGTGGCTCCTCCCACCAGAGCAGCACAAATGAAGACTTGTCTCTTTCCAAACGCTCTTAAAGGACGATCGTTTTGACTGTTGACCGTGACACCCTCATCAGAAAAATGTCCAACATGAGAAAAGTGGAGCCGAGTGCAGGATTTTATAAGAAAAATTGACTTATTCCTGTTTTCATACAAGTTCATGTTAAAACATTGTTTTGAAATAGATTTTTTCTTACAGTTTCAGGTTGTTCATAATATTATAATATTTTGTAAAAGAAAGAGTTCATCAATTTAAAAAGATTTCTGTAATAGATTTGTGTTTCTCTGCACAAATATTTGAACTTATTGTTATTTTTGGGGTTTATATGACATGACTTTTCTGATCCGGCCCCTTTGGGATCAAAGTCGGTTGGATACGGCCCCCCGGACCAAAATGAGTTTGACACCTGTGCTCTAAAGTGTTGAAAAGATCAGAGCAGTGCACTTCTAGTTTAGATACAAGTCAAACTGTGTCATTATTATTTGTGAAATGTGGTGCAAAACTTCAGATACAGGATTTTAAAACATAAAAGACTGGAGATAAAGTCCACAGGAAATAGTCACTCTCACTAATCTGCAGCTTCACCTCGATCCGTGCGCTGTGTGGACGTAAACAGACACACGCGAGGAACTATTTTCGCCGTTTTACTTTTAAATAACACTTCAAACTGGATTCACAGCGCGGTTCTGTGGACTAGGGTCATTATCTGCAGAGGACAATTCCTGTGGATAATGTGGATGAGATGCTGCAGTTTATTACTCTCCTCTCGTAAAGTGGTAAAAATTTAAGTCTCATTATTTTCGCTATATCCAGAGTTTGTATTTTGCATCTCTGTGTCCGTTAGAGGCCACACAAACGATATTCTAAGTGTGTCATTAGTAGGCAATAGTGCGAATTTAATTGTGTCAGGTTTGGTCAGACTCGGACACAAATATCTTAATGCCTGTCGGGTTGGGGTCGGATTCGATCACTGCTCTGTCGGACGCGGGCCGGGCTCAGGCAAAAAAATCCGTCCCGATCCACGCTCGAGTGTAAGACGTACTCCATAATGTTCTTACAAAAGTGTGTGTGTGTTTTGTAGGAAGGACCACAAGATGGCTCTGATCCAGCTGGGCTCTGTGGAGGAGGCCATCGAGTCCCTGATTCAGCTCCACAACCACGACCTCGGAGAAAACCACCACCTCAGAGTGTCCTTCAGCAAGTCCTCCATCTGAGGAGAACCAGCCCGAGCAAGAAGAGGAGGAAGAGGAGGAGGAGAAAGAGAGAGGGGGAGAAAGAGAGGAGGAGACAGGAGATAGGAGACAGGGGGCAGGGCTGACCAATGAGGACACTGGGGTGGATCAATACGAGTGCTCATACTACTAGGACTAACCAATCACAATCACAGATAGAACAGGACAGAGCCACGACCAGCCAGTCATCACGAGGAGAGGTATACCCACTGAAAAAGGAAGATTTTTTTTTAAATGATCTGAAATGACTTGAGTTCAGAATGTGAGTTACTGGCACAAACAGACGTGCAGACAATTTTATGAACGCAATTTTGACGCAGAAGTGGGTCCGTGTACCATTTGTTCTTTCGAATTTCAGTTAAGAACGAAAATCAATAAAATGGGAAAACAGTTTGTTATTTTGTTTCCATTTTAGTTTGTTTGTTTTTATATAGATTCCCATTAGCTACTGAAAAACAGCAACTATTCTTCCTGGAGTCAGTGACACGCTGTAAATGCATTTTATTATTATTATTATTATTAATGAAAAATAACAAAAACGACCGACAAATAATCCATAATATCAAATCATCAATATAATACATAAAATTAAATTATAAATAATCATCAATATAATAAAAATAAATAAATATTATAAATAAATAAGAAGAAAATTATTATTATCATCCTTCTTCTTATAATAATAATAATAATAATAATAATAATAAATCACAAATATTAGCTGCTCCTGATTGAAAATGAACACATTTTGACCTCTATTTCCAATTTGCCAATTTAATTTAAAGTTTATTTCAGCTAACACCAGTCAAAAAACTGTCTCGGTGCCTATTTTAATTTTAATATTTTATTCTCTCTGGTTTATTTGTCCCGGAAGTTCTGCTGAGTTTATCGCCTCACTGCTTCTTTTTTCTCGTCATGGACTTCTACAATTACTTTTTAAGACGCAAAAGTAAACGCGTCGCTTTAAAAGAACACAAGAAAACACGTTCGTGCACAAAACTGCAATGATTTTTCAGGTAAATCCTTCTAGCAGCAGAACTTTCAGGGCAAATAAACCAGAGAATAAAATATTAAAATTAAAATAGGCACCGAGACTGTTTTTTGATTCGTGTTAGTTGAAATAAATGTCTGGAAATAGAGTTTGAAATCTGTTTTTTTTTTTTTTTTTTTGACACTAAAACGGAATAATGAAATAAACTGTTTTCCCATTTTATTGTTTTTCTTTTGCAATTGAAATCCAAAAGAACGAACGGTACACGAACAGAAATGTTTAAACAAGTTAAACAACTGTGGACTTCTACCTATGACGTAACAATTCAGGCAAAATTCAAAGCAAGTCCTCAAAACGGCGTTTATAAACAGAAAAAATGTTCTATAAAATGAGAACCCCTTCAATTTAAAACCTGAATTCAAGTCGTTTTAACAATTTTAGACGTTCTTTTTCACGTTGTAAACCAAAATCCTGTATGATTGGCGGTTGAGCTGACCAATAGGGTTGCAGTAAATACTAGGACCCACCAATCATGACGCGGATGTGAGTGGGAGGGACCAATCAAAGCGCACAAAACCAAAAACAGCCTGGGGACTCAAAAACAGACACTACTTTTGACCAATGATCATGCAAAAGACCGCCCGGATCGACCAATCAGGACTCGGAGGGGACTTGAACGGACCAATCGGCTGCTGCGGCCGCGCCCACTACACTCCACATTCCAGTGCATGTTTGCATCGACCAACGTGAAGTCTGTGTAACTTTAAATTATTTTTCTATTGTATTTTAGTTTGTTTTCAAGAGTTTTAAAAAGACGAGATAACATGTAAATGCGGGTTAGCCTCAGATGTGTAAAAGTTGGAATTTGAGGTTGATCCGATTTTTGTTTTGAGTTTTGGAGTTTTTCGGGGGTTTGACGTCAGGATTTTAAGAGCAGGAATCCTTGCTGTTACCTGTAGCCACTCTTGCCTTGGGCCTCTCTCTGGACTGGAGAGAGAGAGTTATGTGTGAGAAATGTACACACAACCAGATATTACCGGTTTGCTCCAATTTATTCAGAAAACCAAACGAGAAGTATTTAGTTTATGGTATAGGGTCTCAAAAAATAAAAACGCTATTAGGCTCTGTTCACGCTTACGTCACAAACTAGGAAAGTGTTTGGAAACATGCGATGACAAATTTAGTAATAACAACAGAACAGAAAACAACAGACTGTTAACGTCACATATGAACAGTTCTTCAGATAAACTATAACATAAACAACAGAACAGAACAAGTTTAACAAACTCTCCATCTCACTCCAAATCACTAAATCCATTCAGTTCTTCATCCTCGGTGTCACTTCTGAACAACTCCACCAACTCGAGCTAAGTCTATCTTTTAGACTGCGATGAGCTTTTTTTTGTATCTTCATTGCAGTTTTCAGAATCCTCACCTGAGTATAAATCCCAGAAAACATCCAAATCATGAAAAAACGTGATTTATAATAAGAAAATTCCATAGTTACTAGGGTTGGGCAGTATCTAGATTTTGATACATACAGTGTATACAGTATTACTGTTTTACCAAAATGTTTTAGTACGACTTTGGTAAGATACAAAGCCGCAACGCTGTACGGCCTGCAGACTTATAATCTCTGAAAAGTTTCACATCTCCAGCACAACACACACAGAACAGACTCACCATCAGCAGAACATCCTCTGTCACAGAAAGAACACTCAAATTCCACTGAGTTGTGTCCTTTAGTCCGACAGAAGCTGAACCACATCAGCGCACAAGGAAAGAGCTGTTTTTATCAGCGCTTTATAGTTTATACAAATGAGCCATGTGGTTTTAAGTTTAGTTCCTGTAAAACGTAAACAAATGTGGCCTGAAACCAAAATGCTGCCAAATTACAGAAGTACAGAAAGAACAAAAGGGAGCAGGTAGAGGGTGGAAAAAAGGATCAAAACTCAAACACAAAAACCTCCCCAAAGAAGTAAAAAAAAAAAAAGTAAAACATCGCACGAGGAAATTACAGAAGTACTAGTATTTTTTTTTTTTTTTGGGACCAATACGCTTGTGGCCGAACTTGCCGTCTTGTCTTGGTTTCTTATGAGCGTGACAACGGAACGAAACTAATCGAACGCCATCTCCCCACGCAGTTAAAAAAAACATTATAGACACTTTTAGTTTTAAATCGTGATAGAATTAAACTGAAAATACAAACACACATTCATTTCTGCTGAGCAAACAAATGTAGGGATCAATAAATTATAATATTATATCAGGTCCTTACGCGCTGCAGATTTTTTAAATGACGGCAAAGAAAACGAAATTGTTGCGACTTTTTGATACCGTAATGTCGTATTACCGTTTAAAGGTTGTATGGAGGATTTTTTTTTTTTGTTTCAAACTGTCAATGAAAGTTTAAAATACCATTACAGAGACACAGCAGCTTTGTAATTATAATGACCAAAAAAAAAAAAAGGAAAATCCATCAACTGTGGACGTAGTGAAGCCAGATAAACATCAGCCAATAAAACGAGGCTCCCTCATTTTCTATTGGCTGTTAGGCTGTCAATCAAACTCCCTATGTTTCTAGTGTAATTGACTCATCGGCGCGCTGAGATTACATGGTTTATTCAGCGGTTCTTAGAGGCTGTAGCTTTTACGCAATTCGCACAAAATTTGTTGCGATTGCGGACGAGAATCCACGACCAGTTTGTCGCAAAAGAAAGTCAGTTTTTGAGGTCGCTGAAAGATGAAGAGAAGGGGAAAAGGAGCAAAACCAAACTGGGGTGATTCTTGGAGATTCCTTCCAGTAATGGCGTGACTGAAGCAGACGAAGGGCCTAAAAACTGATGTGTCAGTCGCTAAATTCTTTCTACACAGGTCACTTCAACAGTAATTCTGAACACGCACGGCTGTAAACAAGCGTGATTTCTAGAGTCAGGAGGCAGGAGGAGATGTTTCTACTTGTGGAGCTGTGGAGAGGAAGGTGGTGTCAGGCATGCACAACATTTGAAAAAGGACTGTGGCTGTATTTCTCTTCCCTTAAAAAATCCTCTATACAACCTTTAACACTAGTAGTTACCAGCGCTGGGCTCGCCGACAGACTATGATAAAACCAAGTGAAGTAAATGTCATCAGCGGTAAAACTGAAGAAGAGTTTGGAATCGTCTTGAATTTAGCATGTCATTTTTTTCTAATCGCATGTACCCAGTGCGCTCGGAGTTATACGTCAGTGAGGAAACGAAATAACGGAACACTAAAGTGACATGGAGATGAAGAAAACTGACAAAATCTAGAGAGGTTTCCAAACGTTTTCCCGGTTTGTGACGTCAACGTGGACAGAACCTTTAAAAAATAAACTAAAAAGACGCTGTACCTGATTTTTAACGAGGTCCGAAGTTATTCCTCGCTCACTTTACGCATTCTGAGCGTCCTGATTATTCGCCGTGATGAGTTTATAAATGTTTTTCTCAACTTTCAGAGACCGGTGCGCCGGAGACAACAACTAGCATGTTAACCGCGCACTTCTTTTGGGCGACTTTTGACCTCGAGAGCTGCTTTTACAATGTACTTTTACACATTTTGCTCAAACACGTGGGGAAAAAAAATCAGGTACAGGCCTTTTTAACGTTCACTTTTTCGTTATAGCGATATGCAAAATTTGAATATTCGATTTAAATTTCACGCGAGTCCAAAAAATGACGTTATTTAAATATAAACAGAAGCTGGTAGACAATTTTCCAAGTACCATTACTGCGATTTAATGTCAAATACTTTTCGAAATACAATCTACTTAAAGTCGCTTGAGGAAAATGTTACTAGTAGTATTACAGTACAGTTATTTTTTACATTTTTGACTACCGCAGTTCTTGAAAATGCATTAAAATCCACACGTACATTGTGCCTAAGCCTTACGACTGTTACTTACATTAAATATTGAATGTAGCTTATTGGTTTTAACTTTGAACCAGTGTAAAATGTTACTTACTGAGCAGGCGTTTTTACTTGATTTTACTTTTTTTTTTTTTCAATACACGCTTCAAAAAACGCGAATCGTCGAAGCAGAATCTTTCAAATTGCGGTAAACTCGGCGTGGTAATACGGAGTTGTGTGTACATTTGCGTGTGAGTTTGAACCGGCGCTGTCTGATCGTTCCCTGTGCCTTAGCCCTGAGCGGACCGCGTTTCCCATGATGCCGCGGGGGCAGGTTTACAGACAGTTTACTTTTACTGTGGCTTTATTTAACCTGTGTTTATGTTTTTTAGCGTAGCGTCTACACAACTGTTTTTTAAAGGGGGTCTGAGCTCAGGACCAAGAGGAAGACGACTTTTAAGGGTTTGGTGATTTCTCGGTTTTGGGTTCGTGTGCGTGAAAGCTGCTGAAAAAACAACAAAAAAAACTCAAACCTTCTACAAATGTGCTCTGAAACGCAAAGGGAGGCTCGGTTCAGATTTAAATTTTTGCTCAAATGCTGCATCGCCAAAAAAAAATAAATTCAAAAGTATAAATTTTGTTTTCATTCGCAAAATTTGTCAGAAAAATCACAATTACACTTTGTTTTGTTTTTTCACCAAATGTCCTTATTGATGGACCAATTTGAAAGTAATCCGTGTATCATTCGTTTTTCAAAATAAAACTAAAAATAAGAAAATGAAAAAACAACGGACTGAACCAAGACTAAAATCAGGACCAAAACAGGACTAAAATCAGGACTGAACCAAGACTGAACCAGGATTGAACCAGGACTAAAACAAGCCTTAAACAGGACTAGAACCAGGACTAAATCAGGTCTACACCAGGATTAAACCAGAGTTGAACCAGGATTGAACCAGGACTGAACCAGGACTAAACCAGGATTACACCAGGACTAAACCAAAACTAAAACCAGGAGTAAACCAGGTCTAAATCAGAGCTAATCCAGGACTAAAACCAGAACTAAAACCAGGAGTAAATCAGGACTAAAATCAGGACTGAACCAGGACCGTTGTCTTATTTTTGTTTTTATTTTGACAAACGAATGAACGAATGACACACAGATTGAAAGTCGAACTCTTATTTCTTCTGCTACTGCAACCCAAAAAAAACAGAATGTACTTTCAAATCAATTTTTTTATTTTTTTATTTTTTTTATAGAAAAACTTAAAAATTAATTTCTTGTTGTCAGCACTAAAACCGGTTTATCTTCGTGTGATAAAATAAGTTCTGAAGCTAAATCAATGTTAGTGAGCGGGATACGTCATAATGACCCGTAAGTGTGCGTGAAAACGGGTGAGTGCGTAAATGACGAGAAGAAACGTCTCAAACTTCAGTAGCCGGACATCCACTCAAAAGGAAACCGTCTGACCTCGCAGCATTAGGATTCGTTCGTTTGACGGTAGGCGGGTACTTTTTTTTATTTAACCAATCGCTGCTATTTGGTCGTGACGTATGTAATGCTCCAAATCCCATAGGAAGAAGGACAATAACATCTTTAACCCTTGATAAAATTCACCAAACATTCTCTTTGTTCCGGCTTTAAATCCTCGATCTCTTCGCTGATTGGCTGGCGCCCGAACTTGCACTTCCGGGGTTTTTACGAACCGTTTAGTGTATTCCAATTCCTGATCTAGTCGCTGGAGAGAAATGAAACTGAGCGGAGGCACCAAGAGAGTCTGAAACCTGCTGAAATCCTGCAAGACACTGACACGATACAGACAAAACAGAGGCTCTTTCTGCAGGAGACATGCGCAGTAGAGCGACGCGACGATGCGCCGAGGAAGATTCTCGTTTTGAACAGTTATTTTGCGCTTCATACAAACACCCTGACGCAGCTTTTATGTAAACGACAACTGATGTGGCTGTGGAAGAAGTAAACAGAGCTGCTGGACGTGAACTCGACATCAACGAGCCGATGTTGAGACGTTGGCGACGGCAGCGCGACGAACTGATTCAACGCAAAAAGACGACAAAATCTTTCAGAGGCGATAAACGAACTTGAAAACATTCTTGAAGACGTGTACACCTGCCGCTTATAGACAAATCCGGCCTGTTTTTATCTTTTCAAATTTAGTTGGTGCCCTCAATAGTCCGGAAATTACGGTAATAAGTCTATAAGTTAAAGATTCTGAATGCGATTTTTATTGTCTTTAAAATGAACTGATTTGTTTTTTCAAAGTTTTAAACAGTTTGCAGTCGTCCAAAGTTCTTCCTCGCTTCCCCTTACGCGTTCAGAGCGTCCAAATTCCTCACCGCGATGAGTTTTTAAAAGTGCTTTTCATCACTCTGAGACTTGAGCGGAGTTTTGCCGTCACTATATAATACTGACGGCAACTAGCATGCTAATCACGCACTGATCAATGGACTATAAATACCAAAATAAAGACAGTACAGCAGACGTATTTGGACCCAAAGAGCTGCTTTTACACATCGCTGATTTGAATTGTGACCCAAATCTTTTTTCTTCTTAGTATCTCGTTGCCGCCCGACCAGATTCTTAAAGTCCCGTGTTCCTCTTGGCGCTGAGAGCTTTAATTTAAGGTTTTTAGGGGGTTAGATCTTGTTGTATGCAATCATGTTTTATTCCAATCATTTATCGTAGCAATATTTACCATTCCTCTGTTACGGTGTCGTGTTTTTTCAAGTGTTTTTGGAGTAGGATTTCTGTCGTAATCTGCTGGACTCTTCGTGTTCGACGGTTTTTATTTATTAGGATTAAGAAGACTCCACAAAAGCTGAGACCAAATAGGCCTTCTCTCTCTTTCTCTTTCTCTCTTTCTCTTTCAACTTTCTTTTTCTCCCCGCCTTGTATGTAAGATTTAAAAAAAGGATTTGGGAAAAAGTGCGACTCGGAAGAGAAACTGGACGTGTTTTCAGGTCGGTCAGAACGATGCCGCACCAAAAAAAAAAAAAAAACAAGGGTGTACGAAAGCGGACGTCGCAGCGAGGAAAATAAAAATCGTGGACGCAGCATCGACACCAGCGAGTGTTTGTATTCGTAAAAATCGTTATTTATCAGCGCCAAACTCGGTGGAGAAAGCAGCAACAACGCTGAATCCAAAGACGTAACGGATACAGCAAATGTTTGGTCGCACAATCTTTATTTTGAAAAACTTGATTTCTTCACCGTATTCCACACACACGTTTTTTTTTTTTGTGTGTGTTTGTTTGTTTTTACCGTGTGTGACTCGGATGAACCTGCTGACGTCCACTTTTCGGTTCCCAAACAATCCGTGTGTCATTTGTTTTTCAATATAAAACCAAAAATAAGAAAATGAAAAAAAAAACAGCGATTTTCTTCATTATTTGTCTCCAAAACCAAAATGAAAAAAAAACCAAATAATGATTCGTTTTTTCAGTTTTTGATTTTGTGATTAAATGAAAAATGGAAAAAAAAAAGGATTACAGTCGTTTCCTGTTTTCGTGACTTAAACTGCAATGCGGGACTAAATCGGGACTAAAACAGGACTGAACCGGGACTAAATCGGGACTAAAACAGGACTGAACCGGGACTAAAACGGGACTAAAACTGGACCAAATCAGGACTGAACCAGGACTAAAATGTGACTAAAATGGGACTAAATCGGGACTAAAACGTGACTAAAATGGGACTAAATCGGGACTAAAACAAGACTAAATTGGGACTGAACCAGGACTGAACCAGGACTAAATTGTTTTCAGTCCTGGTCTGGTCCTGGTCTCAGTCCCAGTCTCAGTCCTGTTCCTGGTCTCAGTCCCGGTCTCAGTCCTGGTCTCAGTCCCAGTCTCAGTCCTGGTCCTGTTCCTGGTCTCAGTCCCGGTCTCAGTCCTGGTCTAAGTCCCAATCTCAATCCTGGTTCTGTTCCTGGTCTCAGTCCCAGTCTGGTCCCAGTCTTAATCCTGGTCTCAGTCCCGGTCCTGTTCCTGGTCTCAGTCCTGGTCTCAGTCCCGGTCTGGTTCCAGTCTGGTCACAGACCTGGTTCAGTCTTGGTTTAGTCCTGGTTCAGTCCGGCATCGTAGTTTAAGTCACAGAAACTTTTTTTTTTTCCATTTTTCATTTAAACACAAAATCAAAAACCGAAAAAAAATAACGAGCAAAATAGTTTGTTCGTTTTCTTATTTTTGGTTTTGTATTGAAAAACAAATGAACGAACGACACGAGGATCCCAAACACCCTGATTTTCGAGATGAGTCGCGAGAACCGGCACCGGCACGATTCTGTCAGCCTGAAAACCCTACCAAAGTGTTAAAGTGGATGTAATTTGAAGGACGAAAAAACCTCAAAATGTTAAAAACGAGCCAAACTGAATCGTATCTGAAGGAAAGCTGCAAGAAACACAAATGTTCAAATCATTTCAGAGGATCACGTCGAACTTTCGTCACTTTAGACTCGCTCACGGAGGGAAGAGGAAGCACAACTTTTACTTTACGAGGAGTAAAAAAAAAAAAAACGTAATCTCAGATTTTCTACACTTCCTGATCTCTCTCTCTACGTCCTTTTTTCTCCGTTTTGTCGTTCTTTCTCTTTCTCTTTCTCTCTCTTTCGTAGATGCAAATCGCTCTCAGGAGTACCGATTCATTTTGTTGAGACAGTGCCTTTTTGAAATGCCTTTCGTTTAAAATCGTACGTGGTCTTTTTTTTTTTTTTTTTTTTTCGTTTTCTCTTTTTTTTTTCCCGGCTGGCTTGAGTCCTGTTTTCGTTTTGTTTTTTTTGTTTTGTTTTTTTTCCGAGGCAAAAACCCAGTGGAAATACAGTGAAAAGATGTGACGTTTGAAACTCACTTCGTCCGAGTGAGCAGCGAAGGCAGCACGGGGCGTTCGGGAACCGCTCCGAACTTTCCGAATGGTTTCTAATGAAGCTTATTTTACTGCTGAAAGAGGCCAGTGAAGTTGATTTTAGATCTTGGAATTCTTCTCAAATACAAACAATTCTATCTTCGCTTTATTTTCATAATGTTAAAAGTAAAAGTCAAATTATTGTCTTTTGTTTTTTTAGTTTAATCTCGACTATTCTGCAATTTAGACACATTTTGACCCATATTTACATTGACAAAAACGAACTTTATTGATCCGTAACGGAGAATATTTGGACACAGTTGCTTACAAATAACAATATAATATAATAAAAATGTTTAAAAATATAAATGGCAACAATAAATTCTAAATAAATTGCAAAAACGAGCAAAAGACAAGTTTCAAATAAAACAAAATTATATAAATGTAAATGTACGAGACAAAATAAGATAGAAAAATAAGTAATAACATAAAAAAATAAATAAAAAATAATAATAAAATACCAAGTGACAGTTCTTTGGAAGGAAAATAAAAAATTGAGATAAAACTAGGCAAGATTTTTGGTAAAATTTTGAAAAATGTGGACTATTTTCGTCAAATGAGTGCTGTAGTTTCACTTGTCATACGCACTTTAACATTTCAGTCGTAAATACAGGGTTCCCACAGTCATGGAAATCCTGGAAAAGTCATGGAAATTTGTAAATTCAATGACAGTTTTGGATTAATTTTAGTATCTATTTCACGCAAGTTCTCATGAGGATATTATGATTATTTCCGAACGTCTGCGCTTTTTTGTTTAAAAGAGACGACAATAAATGTACTGACAGTATTTTGAATTTTTAAAAACGACTAAAAAATAAATTAAATTAAAAATCCCAAATTATAAGGTGAGTGGAACAGGGTTAACGTTTCATATTTAGCCCTAAAATTCTGATTCTGAGTGAAATTCTTCTCTAAAGTCCATGGAAAATTCACTTTAATTTGTGAAAAGATTTAGAGATTTTGAAAAATAGCGGGAACCCTGAAAATAACCTCGATTTTTACAATAAATAAACCAATAATACACCAGATGCCCTAACGTAACATCTTAATTTCTTTTTAGAATCTCAAAAACATCACACGTTCTGAAATCTCACCTCAGTATTTCGGCGTTTTTGACGACAGCCGAGTCTGCGCCGGTCGTTCCCGCGGGTCAGCGAAGGCCCCGTGCTGCGTTCAGGGCCTGTAGGAGCTGTACATACTGCCTGCGTGTGCTAAGTGTGTGCTAAGCGTGTGTGTGTCTGTGGGTTTCATGTGTATATTTGGAAGAACCGTTCTGAGCCTTACAGTTCATGTCACAGAAGAATAAAGAGCTTTTTATGGAAAATTCAAACTGTCTGATGGGTTTTCTTTACGCCGTGTGCACAGCTACGGTTAGACCTGGTTTGGACCTGGTTTAGACCTGGTTTAGACCTGGTTTAGACCTGGTTTAGTCCTGGTTAGACTTGTTTTAGACTTGTTTAGACCTGGTTTACCTGGTTTTAGACTTGGTTTAGTCCTGGTTTAGACCTGGTTTAGACTTGGTTTAGTCCTGGTTTAGACCCTGGTTTTAGTCCTGGTTTAGACCTGGTTTAGACCTTGGTTTAGATTTAGTTTAGACCTGGTTTAGTCCTGGTTTAGACCTGGTTTAGTCCTGGTTTAGACTTGGTTTAGTCCTGGTTTAGACCTGGTTTAGTCCTGGTTTAGACTTGGTTTAGTCCTGGTTTAGACCTGGTTTAGACCTGGTTTAGTCCTGGTTTAGTCCTGGTTTAGTCCTGGTTTAGACTTGGTTTAGTCCTGGTTTAGACTTGTTTTAGTCCTGGTTTAGACTGGTTTAGTCCTGGTTTAGACTTGGTTTAGTCCTGGTTTAGTCCTGGTTTAGACTGGTTTAGACCTGGTTTAGACCTGGTTTAGTCCTGGTTTAGTCCTGGTTTAGACCTGGTTTAGTCCTGGTTTAGACTTGGTTTAGTCCTGGTTTAGACCTGGTTTAGACTTGGTTTAGTCCTGGTTTAGACCTGGTTTAGACCTGGTTTAGTCCTGGTTTTAGACCTGGTTTAGTCCTGGTTTAGACCTTGGTTTAGATTTATTTTAGAGCTGGTTTAGTCCTGGTTTAGACCTGGTTTAGTCCTGGTTTAGACTTGGTTTAGTCCTGGTTTAGACCTGGTTTAGTCCTGGTTTAGACTTGGTTTAGACCTGGTTTAGTCCTGGTTTAGTCCTGGTTTTAGTCCTGGTTTAGACTTGGTTTAGTCCTGGTTTAGACTTGGTTTAGACCTGGTTTAGTCCTGGTTTAGACCTGGTTTAGTCCTGGTTTAGTCCTGGTTTAGACTTGGTTTAGTCCTGGTTTAGACTTGGTTTAGACCTGGTTTAGACCTGGTTTAGACCTGGTTTGGACCTGGTTTATTCACCTCAGTATTTCAGTATTTTCTCAAACTTTCACGACAGCCGAGTCTGTCCGATACTAATCGATACTAAAACTAATATCGAAACTAGATACTCAAGTGTCGATACTAAAAAATGTATCATTACCAGGACAGAAATGAAGCTTTACTGAAGTTTTAGAATGAACTTGAGCTGAATCAGAACACATAAGGACACTCACACTGGAGTTTAGAACCTGCTGTAGGTTCTATGTTCGACACTCACACCTGTACATCCAAACTGAGTCACGATGACGTCATCACACGGCGCTGTTTGTTTACATTAGGAGAGTCAAACTCAAATTCACAGAGACCAAAATTAAAAACTGGGACTAAGTTGTGGACCAAACTAAATATTGAAAATTTTCAACAACATCTGCATGTTTTCTCTTCTTCCGAGATATGCAATGTTAAGCCTTTTTGTATTAAAATAAATGTTTAATAATAGTTTTGCTTAAACACTGAATCCAGAAAAAGCAGAATAAAAAATAATAACATTTTAAATAAATATTACGATCAAGAGTAGAAAGACGAAAACTTAAAGGAAACAACGATGACGCATTAATGACACTGAACAAAACTAATGTTATGGTCATGAATAAAACAGAAGTAAGTTTTCATCTTTCTTCTCTTGACAGTTATGGATAAATTGTTCATGTTAAAATGTTTATCCTTTGTGGACTTTGTTGGTTGAAGATTTGGTGATGGGGCAGATTTAATTTAATTTAAGTTAGTAGAGAATACGACACACATTTACACAGATATTTTGCCACAGAAAAGCATTAAAGGTTGTATAGAGGATTTTTTTAAGGGAAGAGAAATACAGTGACAGTCCTTGTGCGCATTCAGAATTACTGTTGAAGTTTCCTGTCTAGAAGTAATTCAGCGACCGACGCGTCAGTTTTTAGACAATTCGTCTGCGCCATCGCTGGACGGGATCTCCAAGAATCACCTCAGTTTGGCTTTGCTACTTTTCCTCTTCTCTTCTTCTTTCAGCGACCTCAAAAACGGACTTTCTTTTGCGGCGAACCGGTCGTGGATTCTCGTCCACCGTCGCGACAAACTTTGTGCGAAATGCGAAGAAGCGACAGTTCGAAAAAGCCTCTAAGAACCGCTGCGCAAACCACGTAATCCCCGCGCTCCGACGAGTCAGTTACACTAGGGAGTTTGATTGACGACCCAACAGCCAATAGAAAATGAGGGAGCCTCGTTTTCTATTGGCTGATGTTTATCTGGCCTCAACACGTCCACAGTTGATAGATTTTCGTTCTTTTTTTTTTTAGTCATCATAATTACAAAGCTGCTGCGTCTCTGTAATGGTATTTTAATCTTTCACTGACAGTTTGAAACAAAAAAAAATCCTCCATACAACCTTTAACGTAAGTGACGTTTACCTACATCGTGACACTTCGGCCATTGTGAAAAAAGTCTATATAGCATAAAATGAGAGGAAGAATAGGAGAAAAAAAAAAAAGAAACAACCCCCCCACAGTGCTCCTAAAAACACTGATATGAGACCAGGGTAAACGGGAACGTCACATCATGGACTGGGAAAATTAAACAATAATGGAAACAGAAAGACACAAATATAAAAGCAACAAACAGGCATGACCAGTCTCAGTACCTTTCTTCTCTCTCTCACTCTTTCTATAGAGGCTTTGCACCGTCACGTGTCCCCATGGCAACGGTACCTACGCCGCCATGACACCGGGCACAATATGTCATTGACTTCAGCAGCATTGGAGAAACATGGGCAGGTTTTGTTGTGTATTTAGTTGTTCTTGACGCTCTGAACGGGAATAAAACGAATCGATTCTTCACTGTTCCTCTGGAAATGACTCATCAGGATCAAACAAGGGAATTATCGAAAAAAAAACGTGAATTATGTCTAGAGAACATAAACCGCGAAGAGATTTCCTATGGCACCATCAAGACACACTCACGTCACTTTCATCAAGGTATTTGCTATTTAAATTGTTTCATAGTTTATTTAATGAGAGAAGCACATTTACTGAACTAAAATGTAAAAAGAAAACATTTGCAGTGTGAGTGGCAGTAGAAACTGTATCTTCCAGCGCACATATAAACATGTCACTCGTCGTAGGATCCATGTTTTCTTTATTGTCTCGCTTAACCACAACTATGTCTTCTAGAATTAATTGTTTTTTGTGAGTGGATCTTTCTAACGTTCGCAAGGATCTTTTCATGGCCGATTCTTTCGAGGTTCGGCTCACAGACTCTTTCGACTCGTGCGTCGTGTTGATCACAGGAGCCCAGTGTGGGTTCGTTGAATCGTAAACTAGTGCGGGTTTTCCTGGATAAATTAATGACATTTTAGTTCAGTAAATGTGCTTCTTTCATTAAATAAAGCTACGAAACAATTTAAATAGCAAATACCTTGATGAAACTTCAGGTGTCTTGATGGGACCATTGGAAATCTCTTCACGGTTTATGTTCTCTAGTCATAATTCCCATCTTTTTTCTGATAATTCCCTTGTTTGATCCTGATGAGTCATTTCCAGAGGAACAGTGAAGAAACAAATAGTTTTATCCCGTTCAGAGCGTCAAGAACAACCAAATACACAACAAAACCTGCCCATGTTTCTCTGATGCTGCTGAATGTCAATGACATAGTGCACAGGTGTCAAACATACGGCCCGGGGGCCAGATCCGGCCCTCCAAGACCTTTAATCTGGCCCTCAGCTGACTTTCTACTAAAATATTTTAATTCATATTTTCTATTAAAATCTTGTTAATTTTCTGTGGTGTTTATCACAGCAGCGTCTCCAGCGTCTCTGTACGTGGCCCCTCCCACCAGAGCAGCACAAATGAAGACTTGTCTCTTTCCAAACGCTCTTAAAGGACGATCGTTTTGACTGTTGACCGTGACACCCTCATCAGAAAAATGTCCAACATGAGAAAAGTGGAGCCGAGTGCAGGATTTTACAAGAAAAATTGACTTATTCCTGTTTACAGACAAGTTCATGTTAAAACTTTGTGTTGAAATTGCATTTTTCTTAAAGTTTCAGGTTGTTCATAATATTATAATATTTTGTAAAATGAAAGAGTTCATCAATTAAAAAAGATTTCTGTAATAGATTTGTGTTTCTCTGCACAAATATTTGAACTTATTGTTATTTTTGGGGTTTATATGACATGAGTTTTCTGATCCGGCCCCTTTGGGATCAAAGTCGGTTGGATGTGGCCCCCGGACCAAAGTGAGTTTGACACCCCTGACATAGTGTGTCCGGTGTCATGGCGGCGTAGGTACCGTTGCCATGGGGACACGTGACGGTGCAAAGCCTCTATTCTCTCCTTTCTTTCTCCTCACTGCATTTCTTTTGTCTCTCCTTCCTACTCACTGTTTCCACTTTCTTGCTCTTCTCTTTTTCTTCCCCTCGCTTTATTTCTTCTTTCCTTCGTCCTTCTTTGCTGCTGCTCTTCCTCTTTCATTTTCATCTCCTCCTCCTCCTCACTTTCTCTTTCTTCTCTCTCTCCACTTTCTTTTCTTTCTCTCCTTCCTCTCTCCGTCTCTTCCATCTCTCTTTCCCTCTCTCTCTGTCGTTCATGTCGCTGATGCCGCAGAAATACCGTCCGGAGTCCTCGAGTTCAGACCTTCTCAAGACCAGAGACCCATCGGACCTGACGGAGACTCTAGACCCAAGTCCAGATCCGGATCCAAGCTTGATTCGTGATCTAAATCCTGGTCCAGGTTCAGATTCAAAAAGTCCTGATCCTGGTTCAGATTCAAAAAGTCCTGATCCTGGTTCAGATTCAGGGCCAAATCGAAGTTCTGATCCTCCTCCAGATCCAAGAACATAGCTTAGTTCAGGTCCAGATCCAAGTCTAGATCCGGGTCCGAGTGTAGGTCCAGATCGAGGCGGGGCTTCATCAGACTCCAGTCCTGATCCTGGTTCAGATTCTGGTTTGGATCTTGGTTCAGACGTTGGTTCAGATCCTGGTCCAGATTGAGGTGTTACTTCGTCAGATTCCAAGACTGGTTCCAATT